ATTGGATCACTTTTCAAAATCAAATAATGATTATTCTAAAACAATGCAGTGGGCAGATTAACTGAAATTTGGCGCACAAGTTATTGGTCTAGACCTTCATCAAAATTAATAGTATATAAATTTCAAAAATAAATACCAGTCACGTTCTGTCAAAAATCTCTTTGGAGTTCTTTTAAAACACAAGCATCACAAAGCATCACATACACTAATCGATTTATATAAATTCAGTGACCAAATTAAGTTAAAATTATCAAGCAGTTACTTTACCGAGACCGTTTCCAAAACAGATAAAAATTGTGTCCATTATAAGTCCTTGATACGTTTAAAAGAAGCACAAGACTAGGTGTGTTTTGTTTGTTTGTTTGTTTGTTAGTTTGTTTGTTTTTCCCCTTCAGTTTATCGTTTGTGTGGTATCTCAAATTTACATGTCAACTATGTAAGCCCCTCATTAAATCATCTTTAACTGTTTTGCCACCATTGTCTGTGAACAAATCATTGAACATTGCTCGACAATTTGGACATCAAAGATATTTAGATGACTTGATATTTAAGTGACAAAATGAAACAATCATTATACTTTATAAATTGGTACAATTAAAGTAATGAGTAGCAAGTTATGAAATCGTAAAAGCACGGAATACAGAAGAGTTATTGACTTGACTGCAGCTGATACAATGAAAAGGAGAATGTTGGTCATCAAGTTCAACACCTATAGATATAATGATCTGCAAGTTATGAAAACGTAAAAACACGAACTATTACAAACTTATTGACTTGATAGTAACTGATATAATTGAAAAGGAGAATGTTGGTCGTCAAGTTAAATAAATACCCACTTGACTGGACTGTAGACTCGTCATGTTTTATAAGATACTACATAATCTAGTTGCAATTAATCGCCCACCATATATCCAAGTCCCACCTATATAGGTTAACCAGACATATGCAACCCATATCCCAACGTCAAATACAGGGGGTTCCTTTGTCTACCATAAGTACTCTTTCTTCCCTCATAGCATTGAACTATGGAATAAACTCCTTAGCTACATGTTCATTGCCACCCTGCACAACTCAAAAGGGCAGTAGTAGGGTTGCAGTATTAGTCTTGCTTCCAGTGTTTTTAACTATTTTATCCTTAGTCTTCTTCTTTTACTATTAACATTTTAATCGTGACTAAATTATAAATTTCCAGTCTCACCTTCCTGGCATGTTTTTTAATTACTGGACTATTTTGCTTTTCTTTCGCCTTTTATTACTAATAATCCGACGAGCAATTAATAGAAGGATTGGCAGTGTTCAGAGATAGAGATACCTAAATGTATAAAAAGGTGTTTTGAACTACAGTCCAGTGCTTTTGTTCCATATTCGTTTATAAATTATGACTTATTGAAAGTTTTATTTTTAATGCAATCAAAAGAAACCTGCATGCAATAATTTATTTTTTTCTTGACATATTTTATAGTTCTGATAGCAGTGTAAAAGTTTTTGTTGTCTGTCTTTCGTGTATAATACGTGTATAATACGAACTAGTGTTACACATAGTTTTTTTTAAAGTTAGGGAATAAAGTGTTTGAAGAATTTAGGAAATAGAGTTATTGAATCACGGACTTTAAATAAACAAAATAACTGCTCAGTATATTTTTCCTACTCAGCCATCATTTAGATCCATTGGATTAATATGAAATGTATCTTCGATGTAAATCCAGCAATAGTTGTATTTGTTGATATATTAAGAATTTGATACATGATCAGGCAAGGAAAATATCAAAAGAATTAGTTTGATTGATAAATGAAAATATACTTCCTCCCGATGTAATTATTAAAATAACCATGCTCTTTAAATAAAGGTAAATTTCACCGTTATTGTAAAATATAGATTTGATACTGATAAATCACTGACTAATAAAAAATGCCCATGTATCGGTTAACATTTTAGCTAGTGAGATAAGTGATTTAACACATTCAATCAAAGTTTAAGAAATAAAGGTGTATTATCGTTGTGATCTATAATCAGGTTATACATATTGGAGTTTCTCACTTTCTGTTTATATGAAGCATCATTACTGGAGCTGATGTAGTAAATACATCTGAGCATAAACGTCAAATATCGATAAAAAGCTATATTTTTAAAGAAAATTCTTGGAGCGACATAGAGGGTGACTTTTTTTTAACTAGGCTGCTAACTAGCAGACACCGCCTTAGAGAATATGGGTATACATGTACATCTAAAATAATCCATTTAATATAAATACATCTTTAAAATAATCAGTCTTTTACGTTTATTATAGAAAAACATGTCCGCAGCAATTTATCTAGGATAATCCATATAAAACCAAGCCAGATCGTAGACCTTCAAGTAATATTTTTTATTTGACTCACTGTACATTAAATCAAGGATTTAATTGAAGATGTGTTAAAATTCACCAATGACAGAAATAGAACTTAAAAGGACCCTGCCCATGAATATTTTCTATGTAAACTTACGGTTAAGGTACGGACTATTTACGAGACTAATGTGCATCCAGAAGCTTGACAAAAAAATAATGTATGCGTCCATATAACAAGGAGTATACTTTTCTGCAGACGCTGAATTTCGTTGATCTTTTTACAGTTCATCAAAAAATAAGGCAAGGTATACGAGGGACACTTTAACAATTATTGCTGTAGAGTTAGTTTTTATTTAAATGTAAAAGAAAAACTTAATTAGATTTGAAAGCACACAAGACACCGAAATTTAGCACCATTCACCTTTTCATGTTCATCATCATGATCATTAAATTCCCCCTGCTACAGAAAAAAGTCTTGGCAATGTAGACAAATTAGCATTCTGTAGCAGATGCTTAAATCAGAGACATAGATCTGCTGAAATGTAGTATATACTGTGCTCCTCTTAGTTCACAGTACTTAACACTTTAAAACAGTAAAGAACACAAACAATAAACTTACACAACAAAAACTGTTATAAACTGTATCATTTAGTCATTTTTCTGCTATATGACACAAGGAAACAACAATATATTCAATCAAAATTAGTTTTAATTTGTCAGATGTAAACCGTGTGTCGGCCATTTTGAAAACAGTATGTCATCATTTACCTCGCGGTAATGGTGATTTATTTCAGTTTTTTCATGTTTCAGTTAAAATTTCTTTAAGTTATTTTGCATAATTTTAAATATTAAAAGTATCTTTACATTGTAACTCAAAATTCATTTTTTCAACAAACAAGAACATTTAGAAAATGATGATTGTTTCAGACATATGCACAAATTTAATGGACTTTTGTTGTTTTTTGCAGAAGTTTGTAAAATGTTGTTCAGTTTTACGTAAAAATCTATAGATTTAGATTATTTTGCACAAAAACTTTGTTGTTAAGGTGTTTGAATAAAATATGTCAATTATGACCAATTATAACAATGGTCACATGAAAATATGCCATTACCGTGAGATAAGTGATGACGCGGAATAAGTGATGTTGAGTATACTAAAAATTCGCTTAACTAAATGCATTTTTTTTTTTTGAGTATTCCCATAAAAATCATCAAAAATATAGCAGGATTGCCAGGAATATATTCAATCAGAGACATACTGGTGATAACATAGTTATCTACATCTCTGATTCAATTTGTTAGATTCAAACAGTGACTGTGTACAAATGTATTTATCATTCTATAGATCTAATTAAAACAAAATCCTAAACTGTATTATGTTTGCTTTTGGCTTTGTCTGTTAACTAAAGTCATGCTTATATCGAAATATTGATGGTTTTATTAATCTTTTCTGATTAACTGAACATTGAAATTAAAGCATTTGTTTTATTTTTCACAGTGAGATATAAGAGATTTATCTTGTCAGGTATCAAGATAAAATAATCAATATATAATTTGTTAGAAAAAAACCCTTTCATTCTAACTTAGGACTTCTGTTTGATATAATATTTATGGAATTTATTGGTTGTCACCTTTTCCAAGCAATTTGATTCTGCAACTGTTTGTAATTATGGAAATTTCATGGCTGCCCAGTTAGCATGCGATAAATTACTTGAGAAAAGGCCAGGCAAAAATGATATTGGTTTCAGGATATTTTAGTATTAATCTAACTAATAAATTGATGTTAGCCATCTGTTATAGACAGACTCAGTACATGTACATGTATGTGTTTTTGCTTCCTTTTCTTTCAATTTTTTTTCTGTATTTTGTAATAACTAATATTCTTGTAGTAAAACCTTGTCACAGAAAAAAAGGTATTATCCAGCATAATTACATTGTGCTTGTTCAAGATAATTTGATTGCAACATAAAAAGAATATAACAGCTTTAATTCACATCAGGAAAAATACATGGAAAGAAATTATTTTAAATATAAATGGTACTTAATTTGACAACAAAAAAAGTATGGTTATTATTACTTACTTAAGTAAACATCATGATTTCAAACTTTCTTTTAGAATACAATTCTGTGTTTAAGTTTAGAATTCAACTTGAAAGCTATATATTTTACAAAAAATATCTAAAATATTTAAGAATTTTAAGTAAAATTATTGGAACAGTTTATAATACTGTTCTAATATCTATAACCATAATCAAATTGAGCATAACCTTTTCTTTAATTTTTTTTTTCAAAGTCAAAAAGTTTTCATCTTGGTCAGTAAAAGCATGGTTATTTTTTTTTCCAAGTCAAAAAGTTTTCATCTTGTTCAGTAAAAGCATGGTTTGCTGCCCTAGAAAACACTTAATTTTTATAGGGTGGCCTTTTTAAGGTTCAATTACCACTTAAGACAGGTACCTGATATTGTCATCTGTTGTCTTGACAACTAATACAATAGATACCTAGATAATTGAGATTGTGATTTAAATCTAGTAGCAGAATTAATTGTTCCATTTTCTGTACATCGACCATATCTAGAGAACTGATGCCAATTGATTTGTAGCAAAAAAAGACGATATAAAACTGTAATTACACGCTTTCATCAATATGGTAATGGGCCTTGACAAATGGCCAATCATGGATAACTAATTTCTTTAATGATTTTTCTATTATATTCTGTAATTTCTACATATTGAAAAGACAGTGTATGGTTCACTTTTGTGTGTGGATTAATATTGTTATTTATATATAAAATAATTAAGAGAATTTAATACACAAAGAACAATGTGTAGGTATTTTATTTTAAAACATTTTTTTATTAGTTTATCAAGGCTTGTAATTATTACTTTTTTTACAGCATAATAATGACAAGTTTTTTTTTTTAATGATTTATTTTCAAAATTTCAGTTTATGATCATAGATATCTGAATAAAATTTGATTTTTCAATGTTTTATTTAATGAAATAAAAGATTTAGAGGGGGTATTAACACACCAGGTCGGTTTATATATTGAATATAACTACCTGTTTTGGGTATTAAATACCTTTCATCAGGTTATGTTTATTTAAAAAAAAAACCCTCATACTTTTTAATTTAATTGAAGGTATATAGACTGGATGACACTTCTAACACCAGTCCTATTGTTTATAAATTAAAATATTCAATTTTTCTTTGGAAATCTTTATCAAAGTTACTTTCATTCAACACCTTTTATGTGATGCCTTTTCGTTTAGTTGAAGTCAGTAAATTTTGAAATTGCATTTAGAAAATTCATATGAAATAAAAATTACTGTAATTCAAAAGAAAAAATTACAAAAATCATTACATAAGGTATTTAAGACGAATCAAATGACTATTTTATCACCACAATGATCACGAAATAAATTCTTATATTTACACCAATATATTTTGAATAATTTTCACACAGCTCTGACTTGTTACAGACGTCATATTGTGTTTATATACAAATCTATAAGAAATTGTCATTCATTCCGAAATACCAGGGGACTGATCCATTTCTCGTAGCATCTATGATTGCACAGCTCCCTTTCCTTGCACACATTAGCCCATTCAGCTCATACTCAGATGTTTATATCTAAAATGAAAATTAGCTTTACATTTCAAGTAAATTGTATCACTTTCAACAAAAATTGTACAATTAAAAGCAATTATGGCTTTGCTTGATTTTTGAATGGCCTGTTTCGTGTATGTTGATGGCGTAAACACTTTTTGAATTGTATGTAAACCTTAACATGTTTCAAAGATATTTTTTCTTTTCTTTTCGGTGATGCTAGTGTAAAACAGTAATTAGTAATTATTATTATTATTTATTATTATTATACCAGTTTTTAAAGCGCCCTATTCATATATTCATACACTCAAAAGCACTGTACAATGATGTCATTAAGAAACAAGCAAAAAAAAACTTCATACACAATACATTATAAAAACTATAAAAATTATTAATAATAAAATTAAAAAGTTTTCCTCACATCACTTTCTTGTGCAAAGAGTTTAGCCTTTTGCGTTTCTCTAGCCTGCTGGTAGCTACAGAATCTGTCTAGACCAGATTACGTCATGGATGTCCAGGCTGAACTTACTCTGCACTGGTCACTTGTGTAGATACAGTTGCAACCAGCAGATCAGAATTGTCACAAATACTTAATTCTGTATAACTTCCAAAGTTTAGTTTTTTGTTTGTTTTAGTTTTTTTTTTTTTTTTTTTAAGTTTAAAGAAAATCACTATCTGTCATTATATCATTACCATTGTAAGATCAGCTATGTCTGAACAGTTGTTTATTTTTTATTCACTTTGCAAAAATCCTAAGCCCTTCATATGGGGCAATGAAACACAATTTTGTGTCTGAATTGGTGTTTAATTGGGAATATACCTACATTTGGCCCTTAATTGATTTATACAAAAGTCACTGCTGACTTCCTACAGTGGAATGTTTTAAACTTTGGCGGACCAGTGTTTTAATATATATTATGTCATGTATGTAATAATGTTGACATTTTGCTTAAACTTGATGAAATGCCACTTTAGGCTATAAATACTATTTTGTTGAATATTGACACATTCAATGTTAGAACAGATGTCACAGTGCATAGTAATAATGGAATGCATTACATTTTCTTTTTGCTTATTCACAATTATTTGGAAAATATGTTTTTTTGATATTGGTTATTGGAATGAAAATATGTATGTTACATAGTTCTTTATAACAGTTGTATTTAAACTTTCAATTTTTTTTAACCTTGCCCTTAGCCTGCTGAGAGAACAGAATTTGTGCAAGCAACCAGTGCAGACCAAAATCAGCCATCACATCATTCTGTGCTGTCTGATCAATGGTCTGCACTTTTCACTATTCAGTCAGTACATATTCTTTTTAATTTTCCTTGTTATATATTTAAACGTAGCTTTAAAGGGCGCTAATGTTAGCGTTACACTATAGGCATGTCAATGAAAAATGACTCATTTCAACTATAAACCGTTCTCTTTTTGAGTATGTGATAAATAGAATATTATATTCGTGTAGATTCAATACTAAATAATTTAAACTCGTTGAATAGAACCATATTTCGCTCGCCAGAGGCTCGCATAGTATGATTTTATTCAATTTGTTCAATAAATTTAGTATTAAACCTTAGCACTCATTCAGTATCCTCTATTTATCTGTCTTTACTTAAGAAAAATTAAAATTCATGTTATATTAGTTGCTAGAAAGTTCTCTTGTAGGCTTTCACTAATTAAAGTTATATTATGTCTGTACTCTTCAATTTGATTATTGTTCATGCTTTTAAATTTGATTATCTATTTAAAATGCAATGTTAAAATTCAATTACACTGAATTAGTGTGGTACTAATTTTCTCCCAATTTTAATTTTGACGCTATTTCTCATTCTGCTATAGCACAGCAAAATATCCTGTCTCAGATACAAAAACATTTCCTTTAATTAAATATGAACAATTCCTAGTTGTATTTTTTTTTCTGAGTCACTGAAATCAAAATTGAACAAAACATGTTTGGAATTTATATTTTTTGCATACAATAATGAAGTGAATTAAATGTTTCATGTTTGTAAGAGAGTCCTGCAAATTACAAATGATTACTTCTTTCAGAAATGTTGTCCGATTACCTAAAATTTTATTAAATTCTCGAGTCATTTATCCTAACAAAACAGATTTATGTTTTTCTTTCATAGATCTCTACAAAGCCAATTTCAGGAGACAGAACTTCTCATCCTTTTGCATGATTAAGTTACTTGCAATCCAAATTTTTTACTTTCTGTGAAATCATTTTTCTTTCTTTCTTGTTTTGTTTAATGCACCACTAGTTGCGCAGTGGGATTATATTATTGCATAATTTACTTGGAAGACATATTAAATCATGAATCTTGATGTTTCATTTATGGAAATGTTGGTTTCATCTTGTTCATTTTGTAGCTTATTTTGGCATACAGTTTTACATACTTGACATTTTGAATAAATACCATACATAGAGTATTTGACTGAAATTTATGTATTTCACTTTGTTGTATAATATTGAATAGCTGCAAGTTTTATTTATGTAATGTTGCCTTTTTTTGAAAAAAAATGAAATACACATGATGTGAATCAAATTTTCAAATGACTTTATGCTTTTTGATGATTTTGATTATTATTATAAGGTTTACTGATTTTTTGTTGAGTAAATTGTAATGTATACATAGTCTCAGAAATTTCCATGGCCAGGTATAATCTCATGCAACATAACTTGCTGACACACAGGGCACCCATCTAATATTTTTCAATCATTTCTTTTATATTTTTATTTCTTTCTGACGTCCCAGGTACTAATGTATATGTCTATTTTTAGAAAAGACCAAGCTTTTTTTAAAGATAATAATGAAAGCCAAGTTCTCTATTTTATGATGTCATCAAGTCATGATATCAAAATGTTTATGTAAAAAATGATTAACGCATTTACAGATTTTGTGTTATTTATTATAATTATCATGTAGAATAGTTGGAACTGCTAATTTTTTATTTCATAAGTATTTAAACTTTAGGATATATTGTACTATTTTTATTCTTTAGCATTCAAATACAATTTTTTATTCACAGTAACAAATTTATATATATTTGATAATTTCACTGTGAAATTTTTATTGAACAGCATGCAATGCTTGTGAAATGGTAATGTAGCAACTTAATTTTCTAGCAATTATAAATCCTTCTCTATAAAAACTCAATGTTTCATAGAGGCAAAAAGAAACCCTTGGTGTTACCTCTTTTTGGAAATTTCCAACCAATTCCCTTGCAATTAGGTTATTTCAGAGAAAGTACAAGTGAATTTAGAATACAAAAAAATATTTTTACCTGTTCAGTTGCTAAATGAAACGGAATAAGAGTAATTAGAATACAGTTTCAAATTAAAACATTATTGTTGTTAAAAAGACCCAGTAAGAAATTCAGGAAAGCAATATGAAGTAATCACATTTTTATATCAAACATAGGAGTATGACCATATCGGACAATTACATGATAATATTTTGCTGTTGTAAAATTTTGCCAGTATTATTTTGTCACATACGGTAGCAATTATTTCTTTTGCATAGCTGTGCAGGCAGTGATGTTTTTCTCAATTTTCAAAACAACCTTTCTAAAGGCATAAAATATAGTGTGATAAATCAGAAAAAAGGGGAAATCTGAAATCAAATTCTAATTACTGAGAATGGAATTTACCCGCACATATTAAAATAAATTTCAATTTCAAATCAGTTTAACATTTTACATAACATAGGCACTGAATCTACAGTAACAGGGACAGCTTTTTGTCTTCTAGCTGATATAAGTTGCTGATGAAAAAGTGATCAGGGCATTTTAGGGGAAAATATTACCATTTTTAGGGGAAAATAAACTTTTTTGGGGCAAGGGGAAACAGACTTTATTTTGCTGTAAGATACACGAAAAAAATCTCTGGCAGTAAACTGCTATAATTACCTCATATAAAATATAAATGCATTAATAAAATTATTAGAGCAATAATTTTTAATATTTCAATTTCAGAGTTACAGCCCTTTAAACAGATATTTTATCTATACATGCATGTATTTTTGGGACATAATTATGTCAATATCAGGGGAATGTTGCCATTAGCTTTTGCAACTGATTTGCCAAATATTTACCGATTACATAGGAAAAATCTAATAATTATATATAAAGGTCTGTGTTTCTTTTACAGGGCTCAGTCAGAAAGACATAATGACAAATATTCCACTTGGTGGGAAGGTATCCAGCTTGTTTGATGTTCCTGAACGAAGGGAATTACAACCTCATGGATCAAGTATCACCTCCTTTGCTTGGGAGCCACATGAAGATGGTCCTAGAAAAGCTAAAAAGGTACTGATACTTAACTAATGGCATGAAAACTTCTGTTTCTTACATTAACTCACTATTATAACTGCATGCACTAAAACTTTTTACTTGCCTTTCAGCTTTTTCAAAATCCTTTCTAAAGAAATTTAATATAATGATATGTTAACTAAATATGATTTCTTATGATTATTTATACTTTAGCATCAATCTTCTTCTACATTTACAACTGCAGAAGCCCTTAGGACTGCATGATGGTTTATGTCTTAAACACAAAGTAATTGGTAAATTCAAGAAAAATTGAGGTATTCTGAAACCATATAATTTCCAATGAAAAACAAAGGTGCTTTAGAACTATTCTTGCTTATATTTTTCTTTAGAACAAGTTCTAACTGGTTCCCACTAATCAAAGAGAGCAGTAATTTCAAATCTCACTTAGGTTATTAGACTGTAAAGTCATTCAGACACTTGTATTTTGCCTTGCATTCAGGATGTTGTGAATGCTTGTTTCTTGTCATGCACATTTGTTGTTAATTTTAAAAAACTTTAGTAGTATTAAATTTTTTTTTAACTTTCCCTCTTGTGCAAGTTCTGTAACAGCTTTTATTTTTAATGCTGAAGTCAGCAAAATCATTGTTTTTATGTTCTTTTTATGTTCACCAAAGCAGGGGTGGAAAATCATATATTCACTGCCTTGTCCATCCTATTGTCTGTCCTTACACATTGAAATACATGTATGTATACTTACTGGTAGGTTGCTATTAGAGCAAATTAGGGAAAAGTAATTTTCCTTGGATGTCATTCATTCAGTAAGCTCTTGTGTCACATCATATTTTCTGAGAAGTGGCTAAAAGAACAAAAGAGATGACAAAATAGCCACTCAAATACAAAAATGTTGATGTCTGTCTGTCCCTTCTTTACACTCTCATCTGAAGAATAACTTGAAAAGTATTGAAGAATTATTGATTCAATCCTCAGACCCAGGGTGAATATAGACCAGAGTTAGAGGGAGTGTTGTGTTAATGAACCATTATAGCTCTACATTGTTAAGTTTTTAATTTATCTCCCATTATATAACACTTAATAAAACTTATCTGTTAAGTTTTTGATTTATCTCCCTTTATAACACTTAATAATGCTTATCCAGAGAATTACGTGAGAAGTATTGTAGGAGTTTGATTAATTAACTTCTCTGAGTGACAGCTACCAGTAAAAGAAAGTGCATTTTCCAAAATCTTGCCTAATATTCATGATTATCTCCCTTAAAGTGAATTAAAAATGCCTGATACTCAGACTACCCTTGTTCTGAAAACAACTAAACTACCAATGGTATTTCATATATATAGAGTCTAGAAAGAGAAAGCGTAATACATTGTAATATTAAGGAAACTGTAACTCGATCTACATTATCTAGTTTTTGAATTATCCCCCTTTATAATACTCCAGAGAATATGATAAAGTATCAAATTGAAGAAATTTGATTCAAACTTCACACAGTGATAGAGACTTAGTAAAAAGGCTGTGACTAATGAAGCAATATATATCAATGAATCATAATTCTGGCTAACTTTGTTTGGAATTATTATCATTTGTAATATGCTTAATGCTATAACCGTTGTTACACTTTACTTTAAATATACAGCCTTTATATATTGACAGATGCTTCTGGTATTTGATAGGATCTTAATTTTAACAATACCATGTCTCTTGTGATTGGAAATAAGTCTGTGTCTTGTCTAAAGAATGAAAAAACAATAAAGAATGAAAAAAAAAACAACAAATTATAAAGGACTATAGCATGCCATCTTACCTTGACTCAATAATGAACACAAAAGCTACGGATTTTCATCAACTTTTAGATTTTTACAAGCACAAATTAGAAATATGCAAATTAATGCACTTGCCATATCAGGAATATGCAAATTAATGCACTTGCTAAATTAGGGATATGCAAATTAAAGCACTTGCAAAGACGCATTTAGTTAATGACAAATCTCTCAAAATTGAATTGTTTACATTATGCACTTTTAAAAATGTATTTTGGTCTTTATTTCTTTGTCACTTGATTGCAATTTGGTGCAGACATTGTCTAGATTAAAAGATTTAAGATGATTGGCAATGATAAGAAGTGTCTGGACCTTATGTCCACAGGAAATTATGTCAGATAACTGCAGATTGCACTTACCCAAATGTGCATTACAGTAACTTTCAATTATTTTATATTTTCCACAAAAGCTACTAAAATAGATTACTGACATTCATTAGTCAACTGGCAAAGTAATGGTGATTAACCATTATTGCACTTAATGCCTTAAAAAGTTGTGAGTATCTTAAAAATGGATTTACCAGTTATCAAATTGGACAAAACCGTTCATCATTCTAAAGTTAAGTAAAATTTCAAAATATTAGGTGGCATAGATGTAAAATCTGTCACCTTCAGCACACTAAGTCTTAAGAGTTTAATTCTGATAAATGTGTAAGGAATTTTTTTTTTTAAATTGTAAATTTTTATTGGTACATAATTATTTTCTATCGTCGATTGAAATTAATTTTTTTTTTTTTAAAAAAGCATTGAATCTTATTACTTATCTGAATTGCTATATATCATTTTCATTTCATTATTTTGAAGTTTTTACCCTTTGTTTCTTTTCTTGCAGAGTTTTTGTCCTAATCATAACTCATATAGTTTTAAAGATATTTAACTTCATTGGTGCTTGCTAAAGGCTTATTTGTCAAAGTATACAAATGGGCTTTCCCTTTAATAACATAACAATATTTTCCTGTTTGACAGAGGGTTTAGTAGTCTGTGGCTGCTTCTTGTAATTACTCCTAAAAATCTTTTTTCAAATTCAATTTTCTCTTGTCAGCAGTTCAGATGAAAATGAATGATGAAAAAATATCAAAATTGTGACGCACTTTAATCAGTTGCTAACATTTGCCATTGTTTGATTAGTCAACAATCATATTTGCTTGCAGGAATTGAAATAGCATTTCTGAAAGTGTTTGTAAACATCAAAGAATGGAATTGAGTCCTCAGTGGATGTAAATTTTCATCTGTTTTAGTGTTTTATAGCATTTACCAATCATGTTTTATTGGAAATTAACACCCAACATTCTTACCAGATTACAAACAAAACCATTTGCAGATTGGAAAGTGTTAATGCACTCAATGGAGTATTGGTGCTGCTCTAAATTGAGTGATCCATTTAAAAAACAAATTTTGTTTTGCCCAAGGATCATACAAATGTATTTTTCCTCGACAATATTTCATACATAAAAGCATTGTGAATGATATTTGTCAGGAAAAGTAATTCTCTTGTTTTTATTTTGAATTTGATAGGTTTTGGGGGAGAAATCACAACTAAGCATTCAATTTCAAAAATAAGAGATGAGGAAATTGTTTCAGGTTTTTATTCTGAAATTGTTTGGCAACATGACCCAATGTACTCAGAATACTCAAGGGATTAGGAATTTCACCATTGCTAAATTTTATGAATACTGAAATCCCATGACATACTAAGTGCGTATTTCAAAATCAAAACCAGACGGTCTATTATACCAATTGAGGAAGTTTATAGTTTAAGATACTATAAGGGAAGAGGGCCTTAATTATAATATTGCTCAGATAAGTAAAAACTGTTATGTTACAACCGTTACATTCTTGAGTGTGAACAAAAAGAAATAATGAAAAGGAAATTTAATTATTTTTGTTTAATGAAGTTCCAGTCAAAACGTTGGTCTAAAATGTCAATAATATATTTCTATAGTATGAACACTATTTTTCTTTTATAAAACCTCTATGAATTAGGTTTTGATTATTATGTCCCCACAAAGTGGGAGCATATAGCATTGCACTTGTCCGTCCGTCCATCCGTCCGTATGTACGTCCCGAAATCTTGTGAACGCAACTCGACCCCTAAAACCGGATGGCAGATTTTGCTTTAACTTTCAGGGATGAACAACCTTAATGTGTAGATGGTAGTAAAGGAAGGAATATTTGCTGCGACCAAATTTAACAGAATTATGGCCCTTTGTTGATATTTCACTATATACATTTGTACTATGTAGAAATTTTGTGAACGCAACTCTTCTTAAACCGGATGGCAGATTTTGCTTACACTTCCAGGGATGAACAACCTTAATGTGTAGATGGTAGTAAAGGAAGGAATTTTTGCTGCGACCAAATTTAACAGAATTATGGCCCTGTTGATATTTTCACTATATACTATGTAGAAATTTTGTGACTGAACTCCTCTAAAACCGGATAGCAGATTTTGCTTAAACTTCAGGGACAAACAACCTTAATGTGTAGATGGTAGTAAAGGAAGGAATTTTTGCTGCGACCAAATTTAACAGAATTATGGCCCTTTGTTGATTTTTAGTTTTCAACTTGTGGCACATGTAGTCCAAAAAATATTTGACCTAGAGTCATAAGATTGACAGAACAGTGGCGTGTGGGGGCATCCGTGTCCTATGGACACATTTCTAGTTTAACTCTATTTTAAATATCATTAAGGGAATGTCTGTGCAGTCTGTTCAGGCTATAATTAATAACTATTGGAAATCTAACTTTAAGTGGAATGTCCTTGGCCGAGTGGTTAAGATTGTTGACTTAAAACCACTTGCCTCTCACTGCTGATCACTGCTATCAAATCCTGATAAGTCACCTGATCTTAATTGAATTCTTTCATGAAAGGAAGCTATCTAGCTAACTAACAAAATGTCAGTTGTTCTACTCAGGTACCCTGTTTGTGCCAGAAAAAAAGAATGGAATGGTGCCTGATGTCTTTCTCCAACTGTAAAGCTGGAATGTCACCATATGACTTGTATATTGTGTTGGTGTGAGGTCAAAACTCAACCAATAAAAATAATAATAATATTTATTATAAAGATAAGTCCAGTCAAATAAAAACTGTAGAAATTCAACCTGCCAATGGTTAAACCTTGGCAAAACCTTTGAATGAAAGTTTCACTGTAATAATAACATATATGACCTTAACCCCTTAAGGTCAAGGTCTGATTTTTAAATTCAAAAAATTACATGAATTACTTTTCTGTTTTGAATCTATTAATAAATTTACTTAAAAAATTAAGAATTTGCTCCAAATTTGGACACAAACATATCCTAGATAAGAATTTCATTTTCACATGTATTAAAAATGACCTTGGTCACAAAAATTTTCACTTTAATGTGAAATGTTCAGAATTCTGTGAAATTGAATTATATTGGTTTTGTTTGCATTTTTTTTTCTCCAAATAGTAGAAATTGAACTAAACAAAAAATATTTCATTTTGTCAGAGCATAAAGTTGTATTTCATACATACTTGTATTTTGTTTGTTTTATATTAGTACTTAATCCTCTTTGAAACCAGCGATTGATTTTTTCCCTAAACCATTTTTATGGTGAGAATTAAAGATAAATGTATAATTATATTTCTTATAATTTTGCAGATATACTATGAGAACACATACAAGATGGAACCACCAGAAAAATTTCGTCCAGATAAAGTCAGGCCTATCATTGAAAAAGTGCTTGCTACAAATTTAAAGGGTAACTTTTTATTTTTATGGGATTTTTATTTGTTATCAGAGATTTTATTGCTTGATAAACTTTAAAGCATTATACGTTTAAGTCACTTGTCATCAAATATAGGATGGCACCATAATAGTTCTGAACGAAACTAGTGATCAATACAGGCCTTAAGTTTATTACCAATGTAACAGAGTTAGGCAGCTTAAACTACACTATTGTTTGTAAATACTGAAAGTATAAAATCCCCCCCCAACAAAAAAGGAAAAAAGAAAAGAATACTGCATATATTTCTAATACAGCATTTATCACCTTAGAAATTTGTCATTGAAAGTTTTGTCAATACTTTACTCATAGAGACGTATTTTCCTTTCTAAGAATAAGCTATAAAATAACCATAACTATACCATACCAGTAATTACCAACAATTTCATCTGGCTTTCAAATTTCCTGTAAGAAAATATATTAGACTCTTGCAGCTGCATCTTTTATTGATTTTCCTTTGAAAATGATAAAACTCCATTGATTTAAGGATCACACTGCTTTATGGACAGTAATAATAATATGTCTTTCACTGTGAAAGCACTTTAAAGAGATTTGTATATTTATGCTTATAAGTTTGTAATTAAAAGGCATTGAATAATGCAGATTCACATTTCCAGTTTCACCCTATATTATGAGCTGTCATCAGTAGAAATATAATATAAATGTATCCGTGATCATCAACTTTTCTGTCAATTGATTATTGATACAGTGCTGAAATGGTGTATAATTTTGACTTATGAAATCGTCTAAAAATGCTGAATATTCACCTAAAAAAAACATGGAAGCAGGTGCACTGTCAAAGAGAAAATGTCTCGGAAACTTATAATGCTGTTGTTGTAACTTAATGGACATATTTCATAGAACAGGTGACAAGAAAGGGTCACAAACAAAACATGGAGAGGGCATTTATAAATAAATAAAACAAAAGATATAATAATATTTGTTACATTTTACATAAACCATGAAGAAAGGTAAACAGAAAATATGAGTGGAATAAAAATAAATATCATACTTGATTTATTATCCACATATTTGTTATCCCATTCAGATATCTCTTCAAAATGTTTTTTACCTAATCAAATTGACAGCAGCCACTCTATTCTGTCATGATACATCTCTAAAGGTAATGCTATGATCACCAAAATAATGTTTCAAGAGGAGTTATGCCCCCTTACATTCTTTATATTAAATTGATAGGGGTCAGTATACTTGAGTGACTGTTATTTATAAAAATATCAGTTGGGGTCAGTATACTTGAGTGATGCTTATTTATAAAAGATATCTATAGGAGTCAGTATACTTGAGTGATGGCTATTTATAAAAGATATCTATAGCTGTCAGTATACTTGAGTGCTGCTTATTTATAAAAGATATCTATAGGAGTCAGTATACTTGAGTGCTGCTTATTAATTTATAAAAGATATCTACTAAGCTGTAAGTATACCTGAGTGCTGCTTATTTATAAAACATTTCTTGCATATCAGACAGGATTATCTTCCGTTTACACCAGTGCTAGACAATGTAAGACAATTCGCGTGCTTTAAAATGATGTCATTGCTGCGCGGGTTTTATGAATGAATTGCGGTCTAAGGATGACCTCACTTAACCGTTATGAATGAAGTTGTATGTTCATACGCTACTATAAGAAATAATGAGAATATCAGTTTTCGTAATTTCTGTTCTGAAAATAATTGATACGTAATATGCAAGAAAAAGAATCAAACACCGGCTCTCGGTACAGACGGGAATGTCTAGCTCTCGGGTAACTGTTTAGCAGAAACTCGGCAGAGCCTCGTTACCGCCGAAAACAGTCACCCTCGAGCTAGATATTCCGGTCTGTACCGGCAGCCAGTGTAAGATTCTTATAATCTATAGGGGTCAGTATACTTGAGTGATGATATTTATTTTCTAATATACTTTCAGGTAGAAAGTATGATCCTACGGAGTGTTCATTACTGTCAAAGGCCCTCTCTGATGATATCAAACATCAAGTAAGAGCCCTCAAGTTTGATAGGTAAGTAAACATATATTAGCAGTCTCTTTGAGAAGATCAAATTTTTGTACAAAGATAGTATGCCAATTATCAAATTAAAGATCCTGTATGTTGTTATTGAGGTTGTTACTACACATAACTGAAGTTTTATTCTGTATATAATTGTGGGTGTTCGGTTTATTTTGTTACCCTTGCCGCAGGTATAAAACCATGTATATCTAATTATACTTATAAAACAATTTTCAAACATCAAAGAATATGTAAAATATGTAATGCAAATATTAAATAAATACACATTATTTGAAATCTTTAAAAAATATATGCATTCATTTCTAATTGAAAAATTTGACTAAGACTTTATAGAAAATAAATTTCTAATTACCTCCCTTTATTTACATGAAATGTAAAATTCAGTAAAGATTTTCATCTCAACATTTAAAAAATATATTTATAATATCCAGTAAAAATAAAATAAATGCTTTCCTAAGCTTCTAATAGACATTTACTGTAGTCTTCTTTCCTTTTTTTGTTGTTTTCCTATTCAAAAATATTCATTTTGTCATGCATGACCATGTATTTCTTTGTTTTAATTGTGTTTAAAAAATTCAAGAAATTTTAAGTTTAAATATTGCAAACTTTAATTATTGATGAAAGAAAATCCTTTACAAACCAAAAAGTTGTACATCAAAATTTTAATATTTTGTCTTTGAGGATCACTTTGAGAGAGTTTAATATTTCTCAAAAACTTTTTAGTTTTTGTATCTCGTTAAAGTTTCCACAAAAGTACTTATTACCTTAGTTATGAACTATCTTAAATAAATTGGCTTAATTTCTCTATACATATGTAATTATAATATTATAGTGAATCAGTTATTATATAAGTTTGTATGGAAGTCAAAATACTACTTTGTTTACATTAATTTTGCTACCTTTACAGCACATAACTACACTCAAAGCACTGTTTTCCATAGTTATATAACATCTAAAATACTTTAAATCTATTATTGAAACACATGTTTGACATTTCTAAAAATTAAGAAAATATGAATTTCTGAGGCATAATGTTAGTTACAATTGGTTATGACTGACAGACTGCAGTAGGAACAGTGGCAACTTGAGAGGGAGACACCTAGCTTATAACCATAAACAAGGCTGTGAAAGATACACAACAACTTTTATATCATAACTTAGTAGTTAATAATGTATATCTTTTGTTCAAAGGATCTTGTTATTAATATTTTATTTTTCAGGTACAAAATCATCAGCACTTGTGACAGTAGGGCAGAAGACTGATCAAAGTGTAAGTGTAGGCAGTCGTTTCTTGTGGGACGCTGACAGAGACAATTTTGCTGCTCC